AAGCGATTTCCTTTTCATTTTGAAGTACAGATCAAGTTTCAATTTGTGGATGAGTAAGAATGGGTAGTAAGAAAGCCTTGGCAACGTAATCTAACATGATGGTTTAAAAAAAAGGTATCTATTAAAGAGTTAAGAAAACGAGATACAATTTGCCACAGTGGCCTGACCATGGATTGTGATTACATAGTGTTGGGATTGAATTTATTTTGGCTATGAAACATCTGTTCAGATAACTGGACATTTTATATCCCAACTATCTGATCAGACAGCTCATTGTTATGAAGAGCCTGGCCCAATACCCAACTGTTCACAGCAGTGGACTGTTCTGCTACTGCTCTAAAATGTACAGTCGGTTTAGACCAATGCATGAAGTCTCCGAGAGTGGAGGAGTGGATCTCTTTTTCGAGTCTAACGCATAGAACAATTTCAAATTGCTCGGGAGACTCTAACACATGACAGAAGTTGGCAAAAGTGTCACAAGAACCAAGTCTGCACAACGTCCCTAATTTTGAGCTTGACATGCTTGTCTGAGCTCTTGCTGTGAAGTATCTCTGGTTACATATCCCAATATCGTTTTGCTTGCTTTGCTTGCTGCATCACCCTCGTTCTCACCAGGCTCCATTTGCTGTCTATTTCCTAGTCATTTTCAAGATCCTCATGCTCACCTACAAATTCCTAGATGCCCTCACCCCTCCCGACCCGTGATCTGCTCTAGCCTCACTCTCCTACCCACTCCCTCCCCTCAGCAAACTTAAATTTGCTCGTCTCTCACCCCACGATTGGCAGCCGACCATTCAAGGACTTATGCTCTTACTTTCTGGAACTCCCTTTCCAAGTCAGCCAACTTGGCCCTCTCCCTTGTCTGTCTTTCTAATTGTCTTTAAAAAGCTAGTGAAGACCTCTCTATTTGACCATGCCTATAGTTACCTGCCTGTTCAGTGTCTGACCCCGTTGGTGAAGTGCTTCAAGACATAAATGGCGCTACATAAATGCATCATGTTGTTTTAATTTCTACTTTTCATTATGTTGATTTTGGTAAATGCAGTTTTTAGCACATTTATGCAGAATAATCAATTTAAATGTCACAGAAATATTAACACAATGTCCAAACCAGACAAAAACAGACATCCATACGTTTTGCATAGTATAAATGTTAAATTTGAGGTTGCTCAAATTTTAGAAACAGCCAAAATGAATCAAGTGCCTTTTTTAAAAAAATTAAAAATGTGTACATATGTTTGACCATCAATCATTACTCCTTGTATTCTGTGAGGTTAAGCATTCCTTGCAGGATTCTCAGATCTCATCTGTACCCACATCCTTCTGTTAAAGCTTTCCGGGACAGCAATAGGGTGCTATATAAATGCAAGTTATGGTTATTTATGTCACTTGTCTGTGTTACCCAATACACTTTTCTTAACAGGAAGTTCAAATTGCTCAGTGCCACTTCAGTGCAGGAGACATCACCTGACTTTGTGATACAGGTGCACTGTTGATTTGCTGGTGATCAAAATAGGACGTTTATGTCTCAAGTTTTTTGGTGAAGATTCCTGAAGCTGGTGGATGTTTAGGTCATTTCTGACTTGTGGATTAACAAGGCATTCTAGGTGGAATCTAAGTGGAAGGAATTGGCTCAGCTTCACTATCTCCCTTTCGGTGAGAAGCACATAACTGTACACTTAACAATAAGAAATACATTGACTGCATTAAAAAATACTTTATCTCTACTGTATTCACTGCTCTGTATTTTAGATACGGAAGATAAAATTACCTGAATCTGTAGAAGTATTTTCTATCTCAATCTCCCAGGAAATGGGTTGAAATCTCCTACGATGCTGTTCCTACTATATCCATTGTGAGATTCTATGACTCACATATGTTCCTCCAGACTTTTTAAAAAATATATAAGGCTTTGCAATCTTTTTAGCATAATCAACTGTTGTATGCATCCTTTGAGATTCAATTAATTGTAAATGAAATACAAGCCAAAGCCTCTCGCACATCTCTTCTGGATTGGAGATTCAAAAGCTTATTTTTAGTCCGAAACACTTCAGTCCTGGTTTTAATCTCCTCAGCTAAAAATATTCACTCTCTCTCTCTTGCTATCTGTACTTGTCGTTTCCACTGAGATGTTGCCACTTTATTTTCCAACATGTTATGCAGGGAACTTCTCTGAATACGTCTTCAATGCAGTCAAATAGGTCATATCCTACTAATTTTCTTCAGTGGTTAGGATATTTTTCCACTGGCAGAATTGTAGTGTAGTTGTGCTTGACTTTACAGCAGACAATGGTGTGCTGCTGATCTTGTTTTCTCAAAGGTTAATGCACCAACATTACTGCTGTCTCCACAAATCGCCAAGATCCCTCTAAATTGTTTGCCATTTTGATATAATTTCCCATTTGATTCCACAATTTTCTACATTACACAATTGTACACACAACTGAGATTGAACAGTTGCTATGATCTGCCAACAAAGCAAGCCGGCCACATATACTGAAGGACTAAAGTTAAAGACTTCTTAATCACGTGGAATCGAATCTTCTCAATAGCGAAACCAAACCATCCAATGTACAACATGGTGCCATTGTACTCATCCCAGAACAAACTGTTGCTACACTTTGCAGTGTATCCTGTGAAGCGCTGTAAGACGTCTTGACGACGTGCTAAGGCGCTATATCAAATGCAAGGATTATTATTGTCACATCCACTAGCTAGTTTGATGTTAATTGAACATTAATTGAACACAACAACTTTCATAGGGACCGCTATTTCCAAACTGTTTACAACGTGAACTGTTGCCAAAAATGAGCATTTTATTTAAAAGATTATTAGCCAAAGGATACACATTACTCTTGGAGAACAGATGGCAACTTGGCTGGAAAGGTTTTTAAAAAGTACGAGTCAATCAAACATGCCACGTACATAGATTCCAATTGAAGCGTACTACAAAATAAAGCTACTGAAAAAGTTAACAGTTGTGTTTAAGCGATTGTCCATTTTAAAAACAAATATGAGGCTCTTGGAAAAAAAAACATTAAGACTTGATTCCCTTGAAACATTAAAATACAGTTCCCCACCGAATGACTCATCATAATATATCGGTGACATTTGATAATAAAAAACAGTTGCATGGTGCAGAATGACATACAATACAACAATTCAATCACATGGAGAAGATTCACCAGCATCTTCCCATGGCATGGACAGGGTAACTGTGATGCACTGGAATGACAATACTATAGTTTCCCGTGGTGTGAAGCGAGTTCACAGTGACTTGCCAGACCTATGTCTGCAAAAGGCAACACAACCGGGTCCTGACCCAACTGTCCAGCGTCTTGGGACGTCCTCCCGACGTGAAAGGCGCTCTATAAATGGAATCTTGTTGTTGTACAACATCACACCTCCTCTTCTGTTGGGACAGGTTAAAGTTAAGTTGAATGCACAGCTCAGAAGCTACCCAATGTAACTGTATAAGCACATAAAGTGGAGGGATTGATTTGTTTCTGCCCATCTCTATTTTGAAAGACTAAATCAACTTCTACCTGGATTGGCAGTCCACTGCTTGTTTGTTGTCTGACACATTTTGGATATTACCTATTAAAGTCCCTGTAAGCAGAAAGTAACATTCAAGCCCTATTTAACACATGCTAAAATTTTCCCTTTGCCCAGTATTTCATCACATCACTTGCTGTACGTTATGTTCCACTAACCACCTTAATATGAAATCGCTCTATAATTCTTGTTCTTTTCCCTACCTTCTCCCCATAGGAAGGCAGGACAGGTTTTCCAACTCCATCACCTTCCCTCAGAAGTAGCATGAATCAGGCAATGTTACTTCTGGCCTCGCCATTCAAATAAAGCACTGTCTGGGTATCACTCCAGTAGCTGGACACAGTAAACGGCTGTTAAGGATATACAGACAATGCCCGAGCCTCATTGCACTTGCTGACTTGCAATCTAGTTGACAGGGAGATAGAATTGACCAACATCTGCCTAAAGAATAATACCTTGTTCAGTTTTCCGAAAGATTGCCGCATTCACCAGATAGTTCTATTGAATTCAATGCCCAATTGGAAAACTAAACTTGCTAAAACTCAAACTCCATCAGGGGGACAGAATGCTCATGAAATGGGCACAGAGGGGGCCTTCAATCTCACTGGCCTAATACATCATGTTGCTGAGACTACTCTCATCCTGTTATAGCCTTGCATTCCCACCTCCCCCTCTTCCATTCTGCCTAATGACTTGGATTGACTGGTGTGTTTTGACAAGTGCTAAAGCTACATTGTAGAGAAGCAAAGTGATTTGCAAAATTGGGGACAAAGCCCTCAATCCCTGATTAACAGCCAGAGGTAATCCGCTACACCCTTTGTTTTGGAACAAAGACACAACTCTAGTATAACATGATATGAGTAGTCAGCTGTGCAAAGAGATGCTCCTACAAATACAATAAAACATCTGGGCAACAATACTTTTTTAAAAAGAAAATAATACCTCACTTAACATATTACAGTAAACACTACTAAAAAGTACCAACAGGCCATGAAGCAACCAACTCCAGGGAGCTGCAAAGTTGCAACTATGATGAAGTGACAGCGATTCCTACTGATTCCCAACTTCCAGGGGGTATCATAAAGCAGTAGCTAATACAGCATCTGAGTAAATATTATACAACACACACACACAAAACACGTTGTGTGGACATTATATAAAACACATGTGTATTATACTAAACACACACATCCATGTTGCACGGGAATTATATAAAACACACATGTGTATTATACTGAACACGGACAAGCCACGTTGTGTGTGCATTGTATAAAATACTCACACACAGGGTATATTACATGGGTATTATATATAAAACATGTGTGTGTATTATACAAAACAAACACAAGCCACATTACATATGTATTACATAAGCACAACACACAAGGTATGTTGCCTGGATATTATATATTTTCTTGGGACTTCCTCCCGACGTGAAAGGCGCTATACAAATGTAATTTGTTGTTTGTTGTTATATAACACACACACACACCCATGCTGCATCATGTGAAACACAAACCATGAACAGCCTTACATCTGAACAGAGTAGCCCAGGAATATTCCATCATAAACTTTAATAACTTAAGACTTAATTGTTAGGAAACATGACCTTGAATTCACTTCTGCTCACCTCTTGATGAACGTCAGCAACAGCATCAGCTGTATTGAAGGCAAATATGTGTACATTATGTGTACATATGTACATTAGATAATGTAATGTAACCAATTGTAAGAGCCAAGTTTGAGGCAAGTTCAAGACTGTGTAACTGCTGTGGAAATAACCCACAAGTACTTTACTTGCTGTAACAAAATTGCAGAATCACTGATAGTCCCACACCTCAAGCAAACACTGAACACCACAGACAGAACAGAATATGAATGGGAGGTCTCTTGCCTCAATTGTAGACTACTGTACAACAAGATCATTACATTTGTAGATTTCAAGATCTGACGACACAGGGAATAATGAAACATATCAGCTGTGCAGGAAGAAAGAGGACGGGGTGAGGGAGAACCAAGCACACAGATAGCATCCCTTTTTATGGCTAGCCAGGCTGACCTTTACCAACTAACTATAGTAGTCAAAATGTACTTAACACTGCTTCTTAAAAAAAAATTAGACTTTGTTATTCGTTCTCCTTAACATTTTTTTCAGCTACTGCTGTGACTGTGTAACAATAGCTCTCTGGGCACACTGTTGAGGATCAGCTCAGTGGAATGGACCGAAGCACCCTGGAGAGGTACAAGGGTTCACTGCACCGATAAGAACCTATGAAAAGAACGTGCGGCCATTCAGCAATGTGGTAAGGCTGGCTTTGGGGACCTAACATTCATTATCTGGTGACCTACAGACATCAATCCATCTTTCTAGTGTCTTCAGAGACTTGTACACCAAGTGTCCCCTTCTCTTCAGGGTCACGTGTACTATCTGCCCCTCTCAGTTACCCTGACATTTTAACTGCTTTGTACTTCTATTCTCATATTGCTTTAAAGGGCCTGGGCTTTGTTTCCCCCGGTACATATAAAGGTACGTGCATCACCTTGATTACTGAGGTTTACCAAATTAATGACGTACTTTCAGGAATTTATACACTGATCAGTTTAGCAGCGAAAAGAAACAGAACTAACAGTGCCTGCCTTCCATGCACTTCCAGCAAGCATTAGAAAGTGGTCACCCCAACCACCTGCACCGCACTGCCAAGCAAGCCCACACGGTTCAGAACTTGCTTGTAAATATACACAACTCTCAATGAAGGCTTGGGTTCTTTTCATCACCTCCTAGCGAGGCTGTGGGTTAAAAATAACTCTTCCCCATAAAGCCTACTTTTAAAATCTAGCTGGTAGCCAACAAAAGGGACACACAACCTACTTTTCTTCTTAAAAAAAATTAAAAAAACAGCTAAAAGTTACAATTTAATAAATACATCTGACATGTGGAATTCGAGCAGCTTTACATCCTAAAAATCCCAAAGCTTTCTCTGAGCTTCAGATAGACAGAGTGAAATGATCCTGTTCAATGGGTTTTTTCACCCACATGCCTAATCCACTCTTCTGGAATTCTTTGATCAGGGCTTGCTTGGCGTCTTGGTACTCATTGGCTGCCTGCTTTGTTTCATGGTATGAACTGAACTTCCCTTGTTTGGATCGAGCCAAGAACAACAACTGTGGAGAAAAAGAGAGAAGGAATTCTATGGATTATCATGAACGAAGGGAACGAATAAAACACATCTAAAAGGATCAGGAGCCAAAATCTTCCATTTCAATTTTTAAATTGAAAAAAAATCCCATTTGATATAGTGCCTTATCATGTCGTTGAGACATCTCAATGGACTTCACAGAATATAATGTGAAGTGGATTGACTGTATATTTTGTGGGCAAAACGCGGTAGCCAATTGCGCACAAACAGTTATGGATTGAGTGACCAATTTATTTTGAGGAAAGCGATCCGCCAATTGAATAACAACCGGGTTCCTACTTATTGCTAGGTAAACAGAGGTGTTGGGAGTAAGGAAACTTGCCTAAGATTTCACAGAGCTCAGGAATCAAACCCGGGTCCTCTCGCTTAGGAGGGGAATGTGCTAAACTATACTATGAATATGAGGTGAATAGGAGGTAATAGCTGTAGCAGAATAGCTGTAATATTTAAGGAATTCAATAAAAATTGCTGCACATTAGACTGGACTTTGTTTAAAATGTTTCTCAGGCTTCTGTGAAAGATTGCCAGAGATCTCCCGAGTGGAAATTTTTGGACTAGGGCAGATTCCTGAAGTGTATCTGTGGGACTGAAACCCAGCACAAACATGGAAGGCCCATTCTTGCTATTTGGGCCAAAGAGTCCTACCCTTTGTAAGGTGCCCAAGTGCAGGTTTTCAAATGAATGAAACAAAATCACAATTTCTGCTAAACTGGCACAGCCTGGAATGAAGTGAAGAAGCCAGTGACCCACTCATCTCTCTTGTCATGTACAGATGCTGTATGGAGTACAAAAAACAGTTGCTATTGCATTTCGCCCACAAAATGTACAGTCAATTGACTTTACAGCTGTGAAGCGCTTTGAGACGTCTCGAAGATGTGCTAAGACACTATATCAAAATTATCATTTGGAGGAGGTAAAGAATTTGAAACGAGGGCGAGGATGAAAAGGATGGTCTTATCTTACCTTCCCATACAAGCGCAGCCAGCGGCTGTACAAGATGTGCTTACACAGTCGAGATGGGCGGCCCATGTCGTCTTTCCCAGTCATGGTATTGATGACCTCCAGAGCTGTGTCCCCCACAGCCCAGTTGACACTGAAGTTGGGTGCCTTGCCGGGCTGGCGGGACTCAGCGTTACTAATACCTGTAACGGACCACATCACACCATCAGTCAATATGATAAATGTCAGGTCCAAAATACAGAAGATAATCAAATAGAATATAGAATATACATAGGAAAACTGAAAAAGGAAATAAGAGGGGCAAAGAGATTATATGAGAAACGATTAGCAGGTAACATAAAAGGGAACTCTAAGGTAATTTATAAGCATATAAAGAATAAAAGGTTAGTCAAAGGTCGGGTGGACCAAAGAGGAAATCGTTTTGTGGAAGCAGAGGGCATGGCTGACGTACTGAATGAGTATGTTGCATCTGTCTTCACAAAAGCCAATGCCACTGTAACGGAGAAGAGGGTAGAGCAATTGGATAGGATAAGAATGAACAAAGAGGAGGCACTAAAAAGGTTGACGGTGCTCAAGGTAGATAAGTCACCTGGTCCTGATGGGATGCATCCTAGGTAACTGAGAGAAGTAAGGGTGAAAATAGCGGAGGCTCTGGCCACAATCCTTCAATCCTCCTTGGACAAAGGGGTGGTGCTAGAGGACTGGAGGGTTGCAAATGTTACTCCCCTGTACAAAAAAGGGACAGAAGGATAAACCCCGGAACTACAGGCCAGTCAGCCTAAAGTCAATAGTAGGGAAACTTCTAGAGATTATAACCCGGGACAAAATAAATATGGGTTAATAAAGGACAGCCAACACGGATTAAAGGCAAATTGTGTCTAACAAACCTGATCAAGTTTTTTTGATGAAGTATCGGAGAGGGTGGATGAAGGCATTGCAGTTGATGTAGTTTATATGGATTTTCAAAAGTCGTTTGATAAAGTGCAACATAAGACACTTGTAAGCAAAATAGTAGCCCATGGTATTAAAGCGACAGTGGCAGCATGGATACAGAACTGGCTGGGAGACAGAAAGCCGAGAGTGATGGTGAACGGTTTTCTGACTGGAGGGAAGTGTGCAGTGGTGTCCCCCAGCAGTCGGTATTAGGACACTGCTCTTTTTGATCTATATAAATGACCTGGACTGGGTAAAGGGAGTACAATTTCCAAGTTTGCAGGTGATACTAAGCTAGGAAAAGTAGTAAATGGTGAGTGTAGTACCAGACTGCAAGAGGACATAGACAGACTGGTAACATGGGCAGACACGTGGCAGATGAAGTTTAATGTGGAGAAATGTGAAGTGATGCGTTTTGGGAGGAAGAATGAGGAGAGGCGACATTCGCTGATGGTAGAGTCTTAAAGAGGGTGAAGGAACAGAGAGACCTGGGGGTTCATATAAGTAAATCCCTGAAGGTGGCAGGACAGGTAGATAAAGCTGTTAACAAAGCATACGGGACACTAGGCTTTATAAATAGGAGCATAGAATACAAAAGTCAGGAAGTTATGATGAACCTTTATAAAACTGGTTAGGGCTCAGCGAGAGACTGTGTTCAGTTCTGGGCACCGCACTTTAGGAAGATGTCAAGACATTGGAGAGGGTGCAACGGAGATTTACAGGATGCTACCAGGAATGAGGAACTTCAATTATGAGAAGCTAGAGAAGCTAGGATTATTCTCCTTGGAGCAAAGAAGATCAAGAGGAGACTTAATAAAAGTTTTCAGAATTCTGAGGGATTCGATAGGGTGAACAAGGAGAAACTATTTCCATTGGCGGAGGACACCGATTTAAAATAGTTGTTAAAAGAAACAGAGGGGATGTGAGGAGAAATGTTTTTTACACAGCAAGTTGTTCGAATCTGAAATGCATTGCCTGAAAGGGTGGTGGAAGCTGATTCGATAACAACTTTTAAGAGAGAAGCAGATAATTATTTGGGGGAGGACAAATTTGCAGGGCTATGGAGATAGAGGGGAGGGGGAGTGAGATTGATTTGGATAGCACTTTTCAAAGAGCTGCCACAGACACAATGGGCCGAATGGCCTCCTTCTGTGCTGTATAATTCTATAATTCTATGAATATGATGCTGAAGTGGTGAAACAGACAAAACTGATAATAGTATAGAGTCCTATGGACAAGCATCTATCATGCACCCAATGGATTCTCAGCTTTTCAGCAGGCTGTTGTTCAAACAAAGAACAAATGTTATGCTAATCCTGCTCGCAGCAAGCCCTGCATCAGGATTTCAGTTCATAGGCTTTGAGCTTATCTGTCCCCGCTCTCTGAAAACCCTTCCACCATCCGTCCCACTTGCTCTCTCTCCCTCATTCAGGGTCCGTCTCAAGACCTACCATTTTGACAGCACTTTCAGTCACCTTTCCCCTCCCAACCACTCGAATCCCACCCCCAGCTCGGATGCCAAGCTAGGACTGTTAAGTGCGTTAGGATATCCTCCCAATGTCAAATGGGCTATAAAAATGAAAATTTGTATTGTATTAGCTAAATTCAGCAACATCTAAATAAGCAAAGTTTCACTAGAGAGCAGCTCTCAGCTGCCATTTTGTCAATGTTCCAGACTATTACAGTGGGTCCAGTAGCTTTCAATTGGCTGCACTCGAACATAATGAAAAACAGAAATACAATTACACAGACTAGGATTTGACATAACGCTCTGGGTCGCTACCCTGTGTGAGGGGCGCTATATGAATGCAATTTGTTGTTGATTTCGATTTAGCTACCAAATGACCCAGTAGTTAGCATGCCAGCCGCATGCATATATAGTGATTGAGGTCCACACTTCATTCGCATTACAGTAAACCCCTGAGTATCTGGATGCCATGTATCCAGAACTCAGAAAAACATTCTGCGATTCCGCATGCTAAAAATCAATTCTGTGAATTGAAAGCACACCCCAGATTTTCAAACTCCCACCAGCTCATGTGATGTCCACAACTTGACCCTGATTGATATGTCCAAGGCCTTCAATGGAGCTGCATCGCACCAGTGCCGATTCTGGATTTTTTTCTTTTTGCCTATTTTATTCATTTAAAATTCATTTTAAATGTCATTTGTTTTATTTATGTTAAATGTAAGGATTAGCAATTAGCCAACAATGTGGCTAGCTGGACCGGATCTTCTCTCCCCATACCAGAAAACACTGCTACAACAGGGCTGCATTGGGTTCAGTCATTGCGGAAACAAAGCTGAAGTTAGATATGCACATAAGGGAGAAAGGAATAGAAGAGTAATGTGAGGGATTAATGAGCTGGTGAAGACTCATATGGAGTATAAACATCGTCACAGACTAGTTGAGCCAAATGTCCTGTTTCTGTGCTGTACATTCTATGTTTGTAGCACAACAGGAGGCGAGAGGAGAAATTGAACTGCTGGCCTAATCACAGCTTCCCTAAATTGATGCAGAACAAGGTAGAAACCTACAAAATAAACTGTGATATATGCCACCTTTAGAAAAGGATGTAACTCATATGGAATTGGAAGCTGATCTTTGTGTTGATTTTATATTAATTTAACAACAAATCAAACTTTGTACGGTAGACTTAAATAAGATGAAGCTAAGCAGCAGCAACTGATCAAGGACTGTGCCTTGAAGGAAGAGGAAGAATAAATTGCAACAAACATAGCTGGGAAATCACTGGAGACCTGGCAGCAAACTGTACTTAAAGAAAACGGAATATCTGAGTGGGAAAATTACTTTTATTAAACAATATAGAAATCCCGCTCCATGTGGCTGACAATTACCACAGGGCCTTTGGAGCAGAACTCTGAGCAGGAAAGAGAAAACAATGAAGGTTTTAACAAGCTTCCTGCAGCTCAACATGAGCGACCACATCGGAAATCAATATAACTATCAAAAAAGCAAATCACTGTTCAGATAGACAATCTTCCTTTTTCCTGCTGTGGCAACTGCATGCTAGACAGTGGTGACCGATAGATAGCACGCTGCCTGTTCCTCATGAGCTGACAATACAGCTAATAATCACAAGAAGGAAAGCAAAATTGCTCTTCAAAACCACGTTCATTTACTCACTTCAAATTATTGATTGCTAAGGAGTTTAGGGTTCAATTGATTTCCACCGTGAACATAGATAGTCCTGCAAATAAACCTTCAGTTTTACATATAAATTAGTTACATTTCGCTCCTGGATATCTCACGCTTTCACTTCATGGATAAATTACTCTTTATTCCCTTTTAAATTAGTTACGTACCATAGATCTAACGAATCACCTCCTGCATGGAGCTTGAGGACTTCATATGACACCATACACAATCTGTTATTAAATTTGTCCTGCTCGGATCTACTTCAACTGAAACACATGTTGCCTTTGGGTATGGAGGTACTTCTAACAGCCCTCCCCCAAAAAAAAATCCTGAAAACTTACCTTCTATGTGCAAAACCCCACACACTGAGTCAAATATTGCCATCAGTCTTAAAAAATCAAAAGAGCTTCTCTTGACCGAACATCAAACTACAGTTTTCCATCAACTGAAATCACCTAAATGCTCACAGGTGCCCCTGTTTCTGCTTTTGCAATGATTAAGAACCAAATGTGAACTCTTTTGGATCTTGAATGGCAAACAACAACTTATTTGTCAGGTTACTCAATCAATCAATAACCCTTGTAATTCAGCAAATCTCAACTGTTTTCTCACCTCCAAACCTGACTCCTACACTCCATCAATGTGATCGCCTCTGGGACCTTCTGAACAGTTTCATATTTGCACCTCACCCCACTACCAAACCACAACAGCCTAGAATTTCCTGGCTCTACAAATCAGCTGGCGAAAATAATTGCAGACAGTTCTGTGTTGTTGATCCTATTCTAAAAGCTGCTTCTATTCATTTGGTTCTTCAATCCGCTCCTTTGAAGAGGCCATTGTTATTCTAACAAGTGCAGATGATTTCATATCTTGGTCTTTATGACCATTATATCAGAGCACCACATCTGTGTTTAATCCTATATTGCAATTCGAGTGATCTCTTGTTCGTCTCCCGACTGAGCCCAGCATCTTAATCAGCCTTAGCATCCAGGGCCAACATGGCCTTGGTTTGTAACCCCATAAGTCTATGATTAGAGCTGCTAAGTGTGAATTGACAACTAGCATTCATTGCTCTCTTCCAGCTCCTACAATAGTTGCCCCCATCTGGTGTCTTGCCAAAGCTATTTGTCAAAAATTCTGCAAATCCTCTTTTCCATCACTATTTTGCCATGATATAATTCAGTTAAAAGCCTGACTTCTACATTTTGATACCCTTGGCAAAGTACCTCCCACTATTGTTACATACTGTATTAGTCTAGTCTAACATTGTCACTGGACTTAACTAAATCCTCTATCTGTTCTCAAGAGATGTGCTTCCAAATGCAACTGGCTTGAGTTGCTCTTAAGCCTCTTCTACTTAGTCAACCTGTCCTTATCCTTGGTTGTGACTGTCTACAAACAGTCTTGTTGACAAACATGAAGTCTAATTTGACTCAGAGGTGAGAATGCTACCAACTGAGCCAGACTGAGACAAACCCTTCAAATCCAACCTCTTAGAAGGCAACTGAATTGTTAATAATTTTACTGTCTTATTGCGGCTTTGAACTCAAGGTTCTACTGAAAGGTTAGTGGAAAAACTAGTATCGACAGTGCGTAATGTCTTTAACTCTTACTGACTTTATTTCCAAGAGGAATGTGTTTCTTTCTACTTTCCGCATGTGTTTTATCCCATTCTATCAAGGCTTCACTGCCTCCTTAATCTCACAGTGATCTACTTCCAACTGTTATATCAATCCACCCACCCACCATAATCTCCTTCAGGTCCATTCCCCTCCCATTTTCTCTGCTCTGCAAACCCGTCCATTCCTCACCGAGCTTTTAGCCATAGTCTATGAAAAGTTAGATGGGTAGTGGGAGAACTAATATTGGGTATACATAATCCATTGATCTCATTCTGCTTAAATTCCTCTTTTTAATCCAAAACATCATGTAAAGTCCAAAGCATTGATTCAGTCTTGTCTACTGAATGTGACTCCTGTGCAGTAATGACCGCTGAACTGGCTGCTCGGTGCAGCCATAAATAAAATTGGTTTAACACATTCAGGCAGCCACAGTGAGATTGGAAAAAGGTTATAATCTATCACAAAAGAAGCTGGGCCTTACAGGCGGGTCAAACATTGAAAACTGCCTGATTGTAATCTTTGGAAATCCAGCCTGAATTTTAAACAAGGAGACTAACAGCTGGAAAAGAAATCTGCTATGTACGACTCAATGATAAGAGTTTAAATGTAATGAACTGTGTTAACCATGTCCAGATAGTGAAACATTGTTGATGCAGCTCTGTCCAAACCACACACTTTTCCCAAAGTGGATTGCAGAAATTAGTAAGTGTGTCTCTGTGGATCAAATTCAGGATCCTTGGCCTCACATTCAAAACTTTCCGCAGTCTCGTCCTTGCTCTGCAACCTTCTGTAATCCTCCTCTACCTTCAATTCCCCCTCCCACTATGTCCCACATTTGGGTGGGGGGGGAGAAAAGGAAGCTTTCACATTCTGCCCTCACTCTCAGGCACTGAAACGTGAAGTCCTTCTGACTTAAAGCTTGCCTTAAGTCCTATTTGACTGCACTTTAGATCACCGCTTTTCCCACTTGCCCCAATCCCCCAGTGAATATGAATTCCCTTTGTAAATTCTGTATGGTGGGAGTCGACAATTGGGATGGCACTTTTTGTATAACTGAGTTACACAAAAAGGGGAACAATTCAATGAGATTGGAGAAATGTGTTTGGACCAAATCTCCCCGTGGTTTATTTTGACTGGACACAATGGTAACTGACAGCATATCATTGTCAGCAACTTGCTAAAAGGCCGTTCTGTGTAAAATCATCAAGTGGGTCTCTCTGGTTTCAGGTTGCCTTCTGGCCTAAGTGTGTAGAGTAGAGCAAGTGGGTGGGAGAATGGAACTGGAGGAGATTGCAGAGATAGACGTGCAGAGATTTGAAAATCAGAACGAGGAACCACTGGGGCGCGGAGGCCAGCCGATTGGCAGAAAATGCTTGCGAAAGGCAGAAACAGTTTTAAGTCATTTATGACAAGTGTAAATCTGCTGCTCTATTGTGCTTTGAACTGGATTTCTGTGGAACTGCAGTGGCACCTTTGGATAAAAAGGGTTGAAACATTAAACTGGGAAGCCACTAAGACATGCTTAATCCAGTCAATGCAAAGCTGCTATTCATTAGGTTGGAACGGAATCAAATTACTCTGATCTTCTGCATATCACTGATGCGGCCAGATTGGGAATATTGCATGCAATCCTCCCTTCATAAGGGCACCTGACACCATGTTCACACACATACAAACACACACTATCCCAGTCACTCAGTGCTTTCAAGTAACTAGGTCAAAAGTAGCATCACCAGGTCGATTCCCAGCTCAGTCGGGGAATAATACCTTTCAAAAGGGATTTTTCTTCCTAAATAAAAGCAAGCAGAAGTGCTCCAAGCAATTAAATACAATACAACTGGCTCACACTCTGGGGAGCAGCTGTGTGATCACAATACATCCTGTGTAGTCAAGTGGAATTAAATAAGATCAGTTACTGCTGGGTTAGTATACTCCTCTCTTCTGTCAAATAAAATACAATTTGCAAATCAGCAAGGTCAGACAGGTTTAATGCGAGAATGTTCATCCTTCCCATGTTGTGGATTAGCACACAACAGTGTGTGATTAGATAGACGACTCTGGGGACAGAGGTGAGCAGGGGTCATCAGTGAAGTAATGATGATCCAATGGACTGGGTGTGCCTTACAACTCATCAGCGTGTTCCCAGACAAGGTGAATTAACCTAGCCTGAAGTTAACAGTTTCAACTGCACGTGTTTATCAGAGAAAAGACAAAAGTGGGCAAGAAGCCTGATCCCTGCCTGACAACTACTATATGCCACTCTTCTGATCCTTTGAGCAATGCTTTCACAGCTTCAAACGAACAGCACTTTTTGCACTGAGATTCAATCAGCCTGATTCTCTGTCGAGCTCCAGGTCGGGATGGCAAGGAACAACTTTCTCCAATGATTCACAGACAACGGGGAGTCCACTTTACAAGGAGTCTATAAATAGCAATAATAATAATAATAATCCTTGCATTTGATATAGTGCTTTTCACGTCTTCTAGACATCCCAAAGCGCTTCACAGAATATACTGTAAAGTGAATTGACTATATTTGTGGGCGAACGCGGCAGCCAATTGCGCACAGCAGTGTCCGACAAACATTCGTAGATTGAAAATGACCAATTTATTATTGTCTTGTTTTTTGGAGGGATTATTATTAGGCTCTGTGTGGAGTAAGAAAACTTGCCCAAGGTTTCGCCCTCTGCCTGGAATTGAACTCAGGTCTCTCACTTGCAAAGCGAGTGCTCTAACCACTGAGCTACAGGACTACAGGACTACAATCTATCTTCTATGGCCTTAACATGGGTTTTTCCAGACGGAACAGAATGATGACAACCTTTAGCGATCACCCCAAAGAGATCTGTGAATTTGTTTTCCTTTTCCTTCCACGCTTGCTAAGAGTGATGCTAATTTGCCAGTGAATAATGAAGAGATTTCACTGCCTTTACAATGTAAAAATAACAGCAAGATTCCAAGCTTTCCTACTATCAATGTATAAAAAAGCTCAACTCCTAGTTTTGAAAAGAGACATTTATTTTGTAATCATTTGAAATGGATTATATTTCTCCTCTAATTCGAGTAAGTATTTTTGTTATATTGTTTTCCCCTCTCAGTGTGCAGAAACTCAAAGATCCTGCTCCTCCACCTCACAGAAAGGCTGAAATGAGACAGCTGCTTTGTGGGAAAGAGGTATATATTCCTCTGCTTTAAGGCTGAAATTACTGCTTCTCCCAGGTGGAATTGGAAAAATAGGGCAGGTAATATTCCCACATGCTTTCCTGAACTCTTAGGCATCCAGAGAAATCTTAAAAGTATAATTTTCTGATAAACACAATTTGCACACAGCTCCCTATGATCTGAAATTCGACCTTACCGTAGTCTGTAAACCCAAATTGATAATTACGCTCAACCGTGAAGCAGTATCTTGTCATCACGACTGAAAGACAAGTGTTGACTGATGTTGAAAACGTACCACTCAGCAGGGGCCTGTTTAGTGTGTAGATGTTCGGCAGGTCCTCGATTTCGATGATTCGTTGGTACACCGCACGTGACAAGTGGTCCGCATGATATAGGCTGCCCAAGATAATGCTGGAGAAGTAGATAGGCTCCACAAAATGGCTCAACAGAGCACCCTGAATCCCAAGCACGTTCCACCTAAAATTACATAAGGAAAGCCCATTAATTTGAGATCACTAGACCACCAGGCAACTGTCACAATCGTGTGAGCATCAGGCAGAGCAAGAAAAGTGCTAAAGAACCAAATTTCCTTTGTACTGACCATATGCTTTGTAATGCTTACTGTTTCCCTGTAAAACCATTGTTCAAATCTCCTGGCAAACTCTCACCTCCAAGTCAGAAGGTTGTGGGTTTAAGCCTCACATCGGGACTTGGAATCACATAGTCTAAGATGACACTCCAATGCTATTCTAGGGTTTGTTGCAGTGCTAGAGGTGCCGTCCTTCGGATGAGTCATTAAAAGAGGACCCATCAACCTGTTCAGGTGGATGTTAAAGATCCCATGGCACTATTCAAAAAGAGAAGGGAATTTCTCCCGGTGGCCAACAATCCTCCATAATAAAAAAATCATTACCTACTTCACGACTGTTTGTGGAACATTCCTGTGCGCAACTGGCTGCCATGTTTCGTCCACAAAATACAGTCTATCCACTGCACGGTATATCCTGTGAAGTGCATTGAGACGTCTCAACGAGATATCAAATGCAAGGATTAATATTAAATTCCACTTTCTATACTAAGGCACCAGATACAACCCCAAATACAACAACTACAACTCTCAGGGCATAATTTTAAGATAGTTCGCAAGGAGCAAACGGAGAGAGAGAGTTATTCTACATAGGGTTGTTAGGATGAGACGTTAATCTTAAATCTTATCTTTCTGTTTAGTTGGAGGTTAAAGATCCCATGGCACTATGCTACAAGAGGAGTCTCCCGGTGTCCTGGCCGACAATCCCCCAGATTAAAAATATGTGGTCATTTCCTTCATGGTTGTTTGTGGGACAAATGCGGTGCGAACTAAGTCTTCATGTTCACTTACGGATACAGTTACACGACACCTTATAGAAAAACTGAAGTGTTATAAAACATTTTGTTGATGTGATATGTTGTTACAATGAATGCACAGATTATTACTATGTAGATGAGAAATAACAACATCCCCAGGCTGACATTACATGAGCTCCGATTTCTTATTTAGACAGTTTTGTATCCAGTCCCATATTCCACTCCAGGTTCTTGTGGAATTTAGATTGATTGCAAGTGCGTTTTGGAAAAACAGCAGCCTCCTCCTAGAAGAAATTATTAAGCCATTCAGCCACTGCGTCCTGGTTAATTTGCTTTCATTAAATCTCTCACAGACCTCCGTCATCTCTCAACTTCCTCAAAACCTGCAGTATATTGTAATGTGTGCACTGCTGTAAGTTAAAATCTCTCCAGTGAGCAATTTGAGAAAATATTAATTTAATATATCACTTGTATTATCTTTTGTTGCAACTTCACTGCCACTTTTCCCGTTTTAAAGCTCCAACTACTTCACTAATGGCTATTTTACTGTCACGATGACTCAAAGAACATTTTAGTATTATGGTTAGGATTATTAGCTACAGTCATCTTGCTTTGCACGGACACCCATTTTGACCTGATTGAGATCGCTCCCTCCTTTTTTATCCCATGCAGGCAGTGTTTAACTTCTTTTAAATTTTCATTTTAATTGATCTTTAACCATTTAAACATCTTACAGTACCATATAGGATAACTGTAAGGAAACCTTACTTTTGCAGAGTAAAAAATATACAGTTAATTCGCTTTACAGTATATTTTGTGAAGCGCTTTAAAATATCTTGTAGACGTGATAAGGCGCTATATCAAATGTGACGATTATTATTTATTCAATGATGAAATAGTGCGCACACAACTTCGATGTTAAACAATTGTTTCCTTTATTACAGTTCAACAATCAATGTTTATACACAGAGCATTAACCTACAACTGCAAGGCGAGATAATGGTAGCTACCAGGTTTTGGGGAAAAAGTATTGTTTGGTTACCTTCTCTGGGAGAGCAGCAGGTCCTGGGAATCTTTAGATCTGCATCTCACTGATACTGACGAAATCGCCTTCTTTTATACCCAAAAAGTCTAAATTCTACTTGCAGAAGGGAACGTATCGGAGAACTCATTTTTAATTTGTGTTTTGTCATGTTGCTACCCCACAAAATGCCAATTCCTGTTTCTCTCATGATAACAAGTAGGGTTAAGAGGTAAAATCAATAATCCATCACTCTAGTACGATACCCTAAAAGCCACAACACTCTCAGATGGAGTTCTGTCCTGGTCCCGTGAGTCACAAACAATGATCTTTCAGGACGTGAATTCCTTTCTCAAGCAACACCACGGCTCGTATTGTTATTTAGTAATGGTACCAGTTAGCTACATCTGTCCATCCTCTGTAGGAACTCTCAGGGCCTCTCTTTCAAAGACCAGAGAGTGCGAATACAGATTTTACTCTTCCCTCACAATAACGTCTCAAAATGTTTTTATTTAATTTCAGAAAATGCTGTTGATGACTAACCAGCCAGCCTGGGAGGAGCAGACCAGTGACTGGGGAGTGTGAGAGGGGGCAGAGATTCTTGTTAACTCTGCAAAGCAAAACTCTAATTGATCTGGTGATCCTAGCTGTACCACCAGGAGGAGGACAATACTTATTGTGCTTCCATTTATTTTTCTTGTGTTCTGTGCTCAAAATTACTGTCTTAAAAGTCTTCTAATTTTTTAGATTTTGAATGGAAACCTCTAAACAGATAGCATTTTCCAACTCTGCGCTGAGACACAAAGCAAGGGAAGAGATAAATACAATGAGACACTTAAAAACCAGCTTGTATGAATGAACAGCTTGTCGGTAAAATGAAAAGCACTGAAGAGAATAGGTTTTCCTGATCCCCAATGTTTGCCAGAGAACAAAGGGATGCTTGGATTTTGTCTTATGCATCACGTGGAAACTCCGAGCAAATGCCTGCCTCTTCCTCTTACTTCAACACAGGATTTAGGAATATAATCCTTTTGCCTGTTGAATACCATCTCTTTGTTCACTTATCACAATCCTCCTCCAAACCTCAAGGGATTAACAACATCCTTTACGTTTAACAAGCGATTTGGAGAAAAGCATGGTGAAAAGCCACATGATTACTTTGCTTGGTCAGCATCCGTACTTCCTGGGTTCAGAAAATCTTTTACCCCCAATCACAATGTGCCCTGTGATGGGTGTTTACAAGGGGATTCCTTCAAATTATTTTAAAAACAATAATTAAGGAAATATGAAGACAAGAGGTCCCTAGAGGTTCAGGATGATGCTGTAGTACTACAACAAAAAGATTACATTTGTATAGCTCCTTTCACGTCGGGAGAACGTCCCAAGGCGCTGAACAGTGTACAGCATTTCAGACCCGAGCTGGGGTCGGGGGGAGGGAGAGAAGGGAAGGGAGGGGAAAGGTGGGTGGCCGATGGCATGGTCGAAGAGGAGGGTCTTGAGGCGGACATGAAGGAGGCTAAAGAGGGGGTGAGGCGGCTTGATTGGGGGATGGAATTCCAGAGGTTGGGGGCAGAGTGGCTGAAGGCTCTCCCGCCAATGGTGGGGCGGGTGGATCGGGGGACGTGCAGCAGGCCAGAGCCGGCTGAGCAGAGGGAGCGGGCGGGTTGGTAGGGGGTTAGGAGGTCACAGAGGTAGGGTGGGGCGAGGCCATGGAGGACTTTGTATGCGAGGACCATGATCTTGAACTGGATCCTCTGTAGGGAGCCAATGGAATCGGGCGAGAATGGGGGGAGATGGGGTCACGGAATTTGGTGCAGGAGAGGACACGGGCTGCAGAGTTCTGGATTATCTGCAGCCTGTGGATGGAGGAGTTGGGAAGCAGGGCGTTTGCATAGTCAAGCCTGGAGGTGATGAAGGTATGAACAAGAGTTTCAGCGGCCTGAGGGGTGAGGTAGTGGTGGAGTCAGGCGATGTTACAGAGATGAAGGAAGGCAGAGCGGGTCATGGCTTGGATGTGGGGAAGAAAAGACAGTTGAGGGTCGAACAAGACACCTGGGTTCCTGACTGTCTGGTGAGTTGTAGTGTGCAACCATGGAGGTTGATGTTGTGAGAGCTTGAGGTGCAGAGTTGGATGAACTCCTTATAGCCCCCTTCTCAGCAGCCTCCACCTAGTGGAAAGTTTTAAGCCATTCACCAACCCATTCAGTCCTGGTTAATTTGCCACTTATGTCAGCTCCCAAAAGAGCAGACTGAACATTGCATCCACCGCTGCAGGTGTTGAATGTCAGCAGTAGGAACAAGCCACCCACACAGTTCCTCCCTTTTAAAGTTAGCCAGATGGCATTAATCCTTTCAATGTGCCTTTGAACCATTGGTGACATTACTTACAAAAGAAAAACTCTTCTCTCTGAAACCGAACACGGAATTTTCTTTTTATTGGATCTGATCAGTGGGGGGAATGTCTATTGAGGATTGAGTTATAATGAACATTACTGAAGGGTATTTGTGTAGGAAGTTGTACTAAGTCTCATCAAACTTTGCAATGTGGTGCTGTTACTGGATGCCAAGAGAAATGTTGTTTCTTACCATGGTGTGCAATGGAACGAACAAACTGATGAGTTAAGGTGTGACTAACCTTGCAATTTTATCACTACATGACATAGTGAGGAGCCGTTCTCCCTGTAACACGCCGTCCCATGTCTGAATGGTGCTGCTTGATCTCACTGGAATGGTCCCTTCACCAGATTCAATTTTTGTCCTCAGCTGCCCTCGGGCCTTCCGATTTGGATGCTTGTCGCCTTGATCTGCCATTTCGGGAAGGAAAAAGAAAGGTGAAATCAGGTGACACAATACACACAGGCCGGGCATCAGGTTGGTGGCGCAAACAAGTCATAAAATCTGCCACTGTTTACACTGACTGGTGAATAAACAGGGCCAAGACGAAAACCGAGACTGAGTGTCTGTATGCCNAAAAAAAACAGGGAAAAAACGCTTCAAATAGCACCGATCTCTGCAAACTGCAGGAATGTAGACCCGATATATATATATAAGTAAATGTGCTTTCTCTTTGGAAGGGAACTGCACTGTGATATGTGAGATTGCAACTGCCATGCTGTTCACAGCAATCCATTAGGAAGTAAATAAAGTATTAAGAAAATGCCCGCAACTCTGTATCAATTCTGCTTTCAAACACCAAGGACCACTGAAGAAAAAAATCGAGGCATTTTTTTTTGAACACCTCCAAAGTGCAGGGTGTATTCAGTATTTAATTTCGAACATACGCTTATCTCTTACATCGCCTGGCTATGATGTCAGTCCTGGGAATAAACAATTTCCAATACTGCACTCGCAACTGGAAACAACTCTGGCTGTCATGTCAGTGATCAGTTAACTGCTTAACAGTGGTTTCTGGTGCTCAACACTATCTAACCTGCATACAGGAGTCCTATAGCTCAGTGGTTAGAGCACTCGCCTTGCAAGCGAGAAACCTGAGTTTGATTCCCAGCAGAGTGAAACCTTGGGCAAGTTTCCTTACTCCACACCCCTGATAATAATTCAAGAAAAAACAACAATAATAATTTGGTCACTCAATCCACGATTGTTTGAAGGACACTGCTGTGTGGAATTGGCTGCTGTGTTTTGCCCACAAATATACAGTTAATTCACTTTGCCCTATATTCTGTGAAGCGCTTTGAGATGTCTAGAAGATGTGAAAAGTGCTATATCAAATGAAAGGATTATTATTAGTCCTGGGACTGGCATTTCAGCCTGGTGGGTTTCTGGCTGAGCAACATACAATCACGGATGTTGGAAAAAATTGGCACTTCAGAAGGTGTTAATCAGTGAAAAAATGAGGGTAAAAGACACCTTTAATAGTTTTTATTAATACTGTAATTTTTAAGAGCTATATAAGTGCAAGTTGTTGTAATAATGATCCTTACTTTTGGTATAGTCATTGACGCACCTCAAAGCACTTCACGGGATTTCACTGTGAAGTATAGTAACTGTGCGTTTGCAGGCGGTCTGTACTTGTGTTTGGACAATGGGTTACCCAGGCAAACGAACCCTTACCCTCCACTGCAGCCTCGTGTGGGGAGAAGATTCGGGCATCCCCACACGGTGACGTGCTAATGTAAAGGTGGAACTGTACATTGTCCTTCAGCTGGAAGCCACCTCCTGCCTGCTCAACGAAGATGGATTTGTTGTGGTCCTCAATCTTGTTGCTTTGATTGAGAGAGAGAAAAGTGGCATTCACGTACAGCTGCAAAACTACAGTCCACAATACGCTGATTCATGTACAACCTGGTTACTGGACTGAAAGGTCCAAACTTCAATTTCTTTAAAACTCTATTACTTGGAGCGAAACAGAGACATAAGGTTCCGAGTTCAATCCCCGGTCTATGCGGCATCTGCTGATCTAAGCCAGACAACAGAATGGGTGCTCTAGTGTTCTGTGTGTGGGAGGGAATCATGATGTACACAAACGCAAACACAGCTCTTGGGAAAGGCACGAATAAACCTGTTGGTCAAAGTCAGAAAACCCGAAAAATATCTAAGGGAAGAAATGTATCTCAATGAACCAAACTGCACCAAACAAGGGACCATCACTTGGAAAAACACAAATAATATTCCGAACAAACCACAACTTCTGATTCATGAGTTCACTGATGGCCAGTGGCAACTTAGCAGCAAGCCGGCCATAGGCACAATGAGCCTGGAGATGACCAAAAATTCACAAAAAAAATTGTGTGACATGACCCTCATGCCAGGGTTGAAGCTCGCAATGGTTCTTTAATTCTACCCACCTCAAATGGTGCTCCAACTGGGTATAGATGAATCGAACCAGGGATCTGCGTGCAACAATTTCAGCGTGGCAGTCGTTCAGAGCCAAGCCTCGGTCGCTCATATACTCTCCATTGATGCATTTAGTTCCCGTGGAGACACAGATAACCTGGGCATCTTTGACATCGGACCCTGGATTGTCAGGGATCAAGTTGAGTTGTTAAACTTGCCGATTAAGTTAATGGAATTTTCTGGATTTTATTTTAAAAAGAGAGACAGGCAGGGAGAAATCTGATCTTTTGTGCAATATCATAAAAACTTCAACTTTTAATCAAATTAGTTTCAGTAATTTTTGTAAGCGTGGGTGGTTTGAGAACATTTGCCCAAACTATTCCACCCCAAAGAAAATCAAACGTACAAAATAAAGAGTCACGAAACCTACCTGCTGTCATGACGACGCCGGCAAGGACTTTCCTCCGTGCGTGAGGGGAGGTGAAGTTGTCGGTCAGGTCACTGAATTTATCCACCACTAATCGTGCCACTGCGTCCGCTAGAACCTGCAGGAAGAGATAATTGGTGAGAAACTCAAGACACATCATCCATACATTATGCCCAGAGATGCCTTTGCTGGTCCTGCTACCTTTTCATCTGCAAGGTTGCATTCTGTTGTCTGAAATAGCGAGGCCAGGCTACAATTATAAACATGCAAAATCCCTGACCCCAGCAAGACTCACATCACGATCGTCACAAAAAAGTCTAAACAGTTTCCCCAATTAGCTCACCCCCCCACCCCAAAGCCACTCCTGTTTTCTGCAATTTTAAAGAAATACATAAAACACACTGATTGATAACTAAACTGAGGGCATACAAACATACAAAAAGTAGCAAACTCTACGCCAGCTTTTACAGTATCCCCTTTGTTTGACCGCCAGCACAGTACATTTTATTTCATACCCCAACTCCAGCAATCACATGCACAAAGGCTTAAAATATCATCCTCCAAAACAGTACTAAAATCAAGTATTTAGATATTGATCAAACATTCTACCCTTCCCCCTCCCCTAACACAGTATCAACATAATTGGATAGCGTCACCTGCAGCTTGTAAAACCCAGTTTCAGAAACTGAGCCCCCATCAAACCTCTCAAAATACATTACAAGCAATTAAGTATTTGTAATATGGGTAATGATAGGATCCTTACCTTGGAAAACAACAGCCATGGTCTGACTCTGGTTTATCAGCCATTTTACTCACTTTACACCTACAGGCTTCTTGCAATCCCATTGCTTAGAATTACACAGCGCCAAAGCCACATTGATGTTTTACAGCTCTGCGTTCTGTACAGAGGAAACCACTGGCTTCGTTGGAGAAGGTACAGGGGACGCCATCCATTATTTCATCAAGCTATTTGTTAAATGACTCCAATGTCCTGGCCTCATGTCAGAAAAGGCTCATTACTGTCGTGGGAATACCTCAGTCCACCGCCTTCCTGTAGCCTGGCCCGGCTGTTAACCTCTGTATGAAGTCCTTTCCTTTGCTGAACTTCTGAGATCATTTACAAAAGGCAAAATACTGCAGATGCTGGAAATCTGAAATAAAAACAGAAGTCGCTGGGAACACGCAGCGGGTCAGGCAGCATCTATGGAGAGAAGAAAATGAGTTAACGTTTCAGGTTGATAAGCTTTCGGCAGAACTCTGACGAAATGAAGAGTTCTGACGAAAGGTTATCGACCTGAAACTCATTTTCTTCTCTCCATGTATGCTGCCTGACGTGCTGCGTGTTCCCAGCGACTTCTGTTTTTATTTCTGAGACCATTTAGTTGCCACAAAGCTTAAATGGCCACTGTACAAATACGACTGAAATTCTCTGCGTTTTCTGGAATTTTTATCACTCATTTGTGATCCTTTGCACCAGCACCTTGAGCTCACAGTCTGACCTGGGAGGTGCCATCCTCTGGATGAGACGTTGAACCAAGGACTTGTCTGCCTGTTTAGGTGGAAGTTAAAGATCCCATGGCAGATCCCATGGAACAACTTGAAAGGAGAAGGGAGTTTCTCCCTGTGTTCTGGGTAACAATCTACCAGATAAATAAAATTGGTCTTTCACTTCATGGCTGTCCGTGTGACATTGTTGTGGCATATTGGCTTCCATATTCATCTACACAGTCCAGTCACTTCACTTCTTGGCAAATCTTGTGAAGCCCTTTGAAATATCCTCTCGACTTGAAAGGCAAGGATTAATTTTTTTAAAAATCTGTGTTTAGGGACATCCATTGAAAGATCACGTTACAATATCAGCTGATGAAATGAAGGCAAGAACTAGATCCAAATTACACCATTCATTGATTCACAAAAACTAAAAATGAACAAGTGAAAGAGACACAGCACTACCACTGGTCACATTATATTGTAAAGTGGATTGGCGGTGTATTTTCTGGGTGATACACAATAGCCAATTGCGCACAGTAGAGTCTGAGTACAGTAGAGAAGCTCAGTTCCCAAGCTAGTGCAATGAAGATTGTGGATTGAAACTTCAGCTCATGATCCTGGGGACCTATTTCATCCCCCCACTCCCCATTTCATCTGGCCCACCTACTCCCTCCAAACCCGTAAATGTTATATTTCTGGAAGGGAAACACAAAAATATTGCTTAAGCGTCCCATGGACATTTCTCAAATAGGGCAACCGGCCCTCAGCAGCCAAAGTACAGCAACTGCCCGTGGCAGGGCTCCAATTGCTGTCCTTCGGATGAAGTGTTGAACCAAAGTCCCGTCTACCAGCTCTTCACATAGACACCGAAGACCCCAAGCCATTGATCAAAAAGAAGAGTTTCGGCCAGAGCACTCTTCTAGATAAGTTGGTCATTTACCTCAAGGCTAATTATGGGACTTTGCTGCGTGCAAACAGACTTGGTATTGAACAGTCACTACACTTGACAGTAATTACCATAAAGCATTTAGCGGTGTTACAAAGCAATACTGCTCTATGAAAATGCAAATCTTCTCGTTTCTTTGTTAGTACAGTACAGTGAGTGCATAACCTCCAATCGTTCTGAGGTACAGCAGTTTGAATGGTAAGTAATTACGAAGACCGGCTGTAGTATTGCTAAATTAATCCCTGTTTTTACTAATTGCTGTTTTGAAACTAGTAGATTTCTGTTAACACAGAACTGTTGGCAGTTTGGCAGATGTACATTAACTGCTCCAAGTGCTGCAAGCGATGTATTGAAGCTCGCGCTATAAAAATGCAAACCGCTCCATAAATTTTCTCATCTCAGACTCCTAATTACTTCTGACTAACTGAAGGGGAGCGAGGCGCTCATTTCATGCTAAATTAAATAAATATTTAATAATCCAGAATGAATTAGGCAATTAAACAGCTGCTATTCACGTCAAATCATTATTCCCAGTGAAAAATGTCTCTGATTAAAATTATCAGCTGATTCTTACAAGATGTGCTGTTTCAGTGTTGCATCTTCCAGACTGGACAGCAGAGGCATTTGATACCACAATCAAAAGCTCAAGGTAAATCATATAGCACTCCCAACCTCCACTCGTCGCTGCCTTCCAGCCAGAACCTTTTCCACTTACTATTCCACAACTTCCTACTTTCTATTACAAATCCAGTTTCATATTCAGTAAGCAAATCTACCATTGATTCCATAATCTGTATTATGCTTTGATAAGTCTCACGTATCAAATGCATTCTGGAAAGTCAGGCAGATTCCAGGCAGCGTGAAATGTTGGGCAAGTTTCCTTACTCCACGCACCTGTTTACCTAACAGTAAGTAGGAACCTAGTTATGAGTCGATCAGTGGATCGCATTTCCTTCAAAAAAAAAAAAAAATTGGTCACTTCAATCCACGACTGTTTGTGGGACACTGTTGTGCACAATTGACCTCCATGTTTCGCCCACAAAATATACAGTCAATTCACTTTACAGTATATTCTGTGAAGCGCTTTGAGACGTCTCGAAGACGTGATAAGGCGCTATATCAAATGCAAGGATTATTATTACATTACCCATTGGACCATTTTAAAGAAATCAATTCAAGTAGTTACTCAAAGAATATAGACTTGATGCTTCTACGCGCCTTATAGCCTTGATCTTTATCAGATGAACATCAACAGCGACCAGTCATAAATGATCTGCTTAGGTTTTAAAATTGCAGCTGTCAATTAAAACCATCTTGTGCTTCTCACTTTCCTGTGATGGAATGCTATATGATTTACCTTGGGCTTTTGATTGTAGTATGAATTGTAATATCAAATGCAAACGTTATTTGCTATTTTTCAGAATATTGAAAGGGGGAGGTTAAAAACTAGGTTGTGTTTCCCATTAAAATAAGAGACTCATTTCAGGGAGCTTTGGTTCACTGGGCTTCTTCAGAAAATGGCCTTTATCAGGATTAGGGTTCAATAATTCAGCATTAAATCAAAGTTAGGGTTAATTTAGAAGTTCACAGATCATTCAGTTTTGACATTCAGTCTTCCAGTCCACAGAACAAGCTGTGTATTTATGGAAATTCTCAAAATGTTAGAAGTCGCACGTTCACCGACTTATTACATTTTAGAGTATATTTACAGTATATCCGAAACATTTTGAGACATCCTCCAGACGCAAAAGGCGCTATACAAAATGCAAGGATTCTTTTTATTATTATTATTAGGTGGCCGCAGCGTGGCGTTGAAAAAGAAATGGGAGCAACTCATTTGTCCCAAATCTCAGTTTCAATGTGGCTGGAGAGCGAGGAGAGGGAGGAAACAAGCTTAAAAAAAGTTCAGGACCCTTACTAACAAAACACATAAAAGTATGCACCAGTCCTGCTATTCCTCCAGTCAACATGCCAGTGCCTGAAAAGTACTCCTATAATTGCACTAATGTGGCTTTCTAAGCTTTCTATTATTCAAATTATCCACATTAACCTTGCAGGTTCACTGCACACCACCTGATATCAAAATTATCAGCTAATAGTACACAACATTCAGCCATGGGAACGCAATGCCTTGAAAGAAAACAGAACATTTTCTGTGCAATATTTACACTGCTCCTAATTGCTCCCTAAGATGTACATCTCCTTTAAATACTACCTGAATAATAATATCACGCAATAGAATATTCTACACGTATCCCATGTGGGCGTTAACCAGCCACTTTCTGATCGTTGCCAGGCTAGTTTTCTTTTCCAGATGTAGTTGTATGTTAGTCCCAACGCTGCAAACTAGTGGATCCTTAATAAACTAGTTACTCAGCTCTGCTTTTCAGTAAGGGGCTTCCACAAAGCCTTGAACGCAGTTGTTTTAGTCATTTCAAGCCCCTCATTGCTTGTGTGCAGAAAAGGACACATTCACTGATTCCTGGGAACGCCAAGCCCCTTTTGTGCCGATTGAACAGAAACTTGTTGTTTTTAATTCAAGGGCATCTGGGCTCCAGTTCGCAAAAAAAAATGAACCCAGTCATCAAAGCAATACGCTTCTTAATGTAGTGGAAAATTGCTGCATAAGTTGGCATAATGCAGCAGTCCCGGTAGAGCAAATGCAGGAGTCTGCTGGCAGG